GCACCACAGCTCAAAGGCATCAGTTCTCCTTCTATCCTCCCTAGTCATTGTTCAACTCTCTGATGCATAACAAGCGATTGCAAAGACCATGGCCTGTATCAGGCGCACCTTAATCTCCAGAGAGACACCGTTGCTCTTGAGTACTTTAGAGAGGTCCCTAACAGCAGACTTTCCCATCACAATATGTTTTTTTATTTCCTGGCTGCTGGTGCCAAGAGTGTTGACCCTGGAGCCCAGCAAACTGAAGCTGTGAACAATCTCAATCTCTTCACCATCCATCCTGGTGCTACCAATCGGTCCAGTGGTGAGAATATTTGTATTCTTGACATTGAGCCTCAGTCCATACTGAAGGCTGCAGTCCTTGACCCTTCGCAGCAAGTGCATGAGGTCCTCCTCAGTTTCAGCAAGCAGGGTTGTGTCATCTGCATAACGCAGATTGTTAATAGATCTTCCACCAATCCTGATGCCACACTTCTCCTCATAGAGCCCAGCCTAGAAATACAAAATATCTGTAAATGTTCATCAAAATTAACAAAAAATACAAAATAAATGCTAATAAATGCTTCACTTACAAACATTCCATTCCATTTGAAAGCAATATAGACCAGATTTTCTCACTTCTTAAGAACATGCAAGTTTACACAAAGGCTGCCCAGAAATTAGAATCACTAACTGTGCTATTCATAGTGAAATAGATGAAAAAGCAAAATTATAACCCATGCATTGTTTTCACAGAAAAAAAAAATAAGTGGTATTGGGAAGTGAATGCATTTTCATACATTTTATATACTATGTGGTGGCATTTCCTAATGCAAAAGTCTCTAAAAGCTGTCAGCAATCTCAATCTCTTCACCATCTATTCTGATTGAGTAGGAACCAATTCATAACTGACCCTCCAATGGCTTTCTGAGGCTGTAATCCACTCTAGAGGACATCACTCATCTTTCTCCCATAGATTTGAACCAACAGAGAACTTTTGACTTTGTAGTCCAGTTCCTTATGGACTGCATCACCAGAGCTCCCTCTAAGGCCTATGCAGGTCTTAAGAGGGAACAACCAGAATGAAAAGAACAATGTTCATGCATTGTGAAGACCAATCAATGCTACTGAACAACTTGTGCAGAAATTATTCAATGAGAACCTAAACTACCATGTAAACCTTTACTAAAACCACAATAAAATACTATTTAAAAAAATAAGCCAAAGAAAATGACAAAACACTTCTGTGAGAAACAATAAAAGACTTAAATAAATATATGAGGAAAATGTTCCCTGTTCATGGATAGGAAAACCCAAGATAGTGAAAATGACAATCTTAACAAAAGCTATCTACATATTTAATGCAATCCCAAAATAGATACCAAATTCCTTTTTCAAAGAGATCAAAAGAGCAATTTTCAAATTTATTTAGGAAGGAAAGAGGCCCTAAATAAGGAAAGAGGCCCTAAATAAGCAAAGCACTTCTGAAAACCAAAAATTAAGTGGGAGGCATAGCACTCCCTGATCTCAAAACCTACTAGACAGCTGTAATAACCAAAACAGCATGGTACTGGTACAATGACAGACACATAGACCAATGGAACAGAATTGAGAAACCAGAAGTTAACCCATAGCCAGAAATAGACAATTGGGAGAGAATAAAATTGATGAATGAGACCTTCTAAAGAGTAAATCCCTGTGTGCATCAAAAACTTTTCCCAATAGAGTGAAAAGAAACCTATTGACTGGGAGAAAAAACATCACAGACAAGGATCTCATAACAAAGTTTATCAATACTATAGAGCCTCCACAAGAAAAGACTGATAACCTAATTACAAATGGGCAAAATATATGGAAAAACTTTTCACAGAGGAAGACATTCGGATGGCCAACAGACACAGGAAGAAATGCTCCAAATCACTGGCAATAAGAGAGATGCAATTCAAAACCACAATGAGATACCATCTTACCCCAGTGGCGGTGGCAAAGTTTAAAAGGACAGCAAGTAATAAATGTTGGAGAGGATGTGGCAAGATAGGAACTATCATACACTGTTGGTGGGATTGTAAAATGGTGCAACCACTCTGGAAGGCAGGTTGCTATTTCCTCAAAAAGCTGAACATCGAAATTCCATATGACCCAGATATTCCAGTGCTAGGAAAAAGCCCAAGGAAATTAGAACTGAGGAAGAAATGGAAGTTTGTACACCAATGTTCATTACACCAATGTTCATAGCCGTGTTATTCATAATCATAAGGACATGTAAATAGTCCAAATGTCTATCCATAACTGAATGGATTGAGAAATTGTGGTATATTCACACAGTGGAATACTACACAGCAACCAGGAGCAACAATTTTTAAAAATACTACCTAACTTGGAGAGACTGGAAAGCATTACTTTGAGTGAACTCACTGAGACTCATAAGGACAAATCCTATATAAGACCATTATGTAAAAATAGACAACTAGTAAAACGTGTATGAGGGCTCATTCAAGAGGGGAAGAGGTGGAAACAGAGTGGTGAGGATGTGTAGGTGGGGAAAGCACAGGGTGGCACAATTTGGTGAGTGGAGGGAGGGGGTAAAGGAAATAAGAAAGGTCTGGCAGTGACCAGAAAAGATGGGATAATGGTAAGCATAGTTCGATGGTAGTTAATTTTATAAAACACAATGTATGGGAATGATTTTATCAAACCCCATGTCAATGAAAGAAAGTGTGAAACACAATGTATATGAATTTTGTAAAAAAAAAAAAATTTAAATGGGAAGAAACAAGCAAAAATAAACAAAACCCCAGCCCCAAACCGTAAGTATGTTGCTCAAGCCCACCATATTTTAATACAAATAACAATCAAACTTTGTCTTTTTTAAAACTGCACAACCCTGTCCTTCGATAGTTATTTGTGGACTATGAGCATTATATGAGCAAACATGTTATATGAACAATTTATATGAGTTAAATACGGTGCTAAATTACCCTAGGTCTCTGTTTGGAATTCCAAGCCTGGAATCTGAAGAGCTTTAGCTGATTAGCACCGTGACTAATTACATGCAAACAGGAGTCACACACAGAGCAGACATTACTTAAGCTCACAGAAAAATGTTAAGAGCTAAATAAAGAAGCATCTTTTTCCGAATTCCATACTTAGATCCCTTTAACTGTTAGTAGTATCTGGAAGTTTCTTGGGGTTTACGACAGATTTAGTAGCTCTGCTGAAGCGGAAGTTCCACGGAGATTTGTACAGGGAAGTTTCCTTCCTCTGTGCCTCTTAGAGTTCTGTAGACAAGCCCTTCTTTTTAGAGAGGGACTTGAACCTTCAATAGAGGCCTATTGGTGCAGTGGGTTAAGCAGTGGGGTGCTTAAAAGTTGACAGAACCCACCAGTTGCACTGTGGGAAAAAGAGGAGGCAATTTGCTTCCAGAAAGATTTCTGGCCTAGTCAACAATGGGGCAATTCTACTCTGTGCTGCAGAGTGAGTCACTAGGAGTGGAAATCAACTTGATGGCAGTGTGTTTGGGTTCAGTTTTACCCTCAGCTTTGCCTTCTATCACACACTGTCATTTTTATACAGGTGAAAATTTGACAAATTACAGAGGCAAATTAAACAAAAAAACAAAAACCGCGGAGCCAGTTTCTGTCATTTTTATTCCATCTTATGGCGATTCTATTTGTGTCAGAGAAGAACTGCGCTCCATAGGGTTCTGTTGGCTGACTCTTCAGAAATAGTCCAGCCTTTCTTATAAGGTGCTTAGGCAGGTGGGGAGGTGGGGTTTAAACGTCAAAATTCTTTCCATTAGAATACATTCTCTCACACACCACCCTCCAAACTGAGTGTCTACTTTCATTTTCCTATAGAAAATTTAGGGAATTTCGGTGGCCTAGAGAGCGTAAGGAGTTGCACTGCCAACCCAAGACCGGTGGTTTGGATCCACCAGCTGCTCCAGGCAAGAAAGATCGACCATCTCTTCTCATGCAATTTACAACCTCTGAAAACCTACTGCAGGGCCAGCTATGATTACTTCTGACTCATCTGCAAGGATTGAGCGAGATAGTTTGTTCCCACTTAGACTCATTAAGGCAATACAAAGCTATGCATCGCCTCATTCTAAGACCAATTAATTAACCTCTGTCCTATCAGAAAGTTCTTGTGACATAGTCTGTAGGATATTACACCACGATCCTAAAGGTGTCCAGTTTGAATTCACTGGGTATTGCCAATATATGTATCTCACCTAAATATAAACATGTTATGGTTTGTAGCATGTATAAGAAGTGCTTTTGGATACATTTTATCATTCAGAAAAAAGCAGAAAACTTAGGCCAGTTACTGTTCCATTGGAATTGACTCTAACTGATCTTCCATTGGGTTTCTGAGTCACTGACAGATTCTAACCACGAAAGAGACTGGGCTTTGGGTTAGTAGTACAATTCCCTAAAGACTAGGTCACTGTTGTGTACCATCAAACTGAAACCAACCCATAGCTGACTCTCTAGCAGGTTTTCAGAGGCTGTAAATCGCATGGAGATTGCCTTTCTCCCTTGAAGCATGTGAGGGATTCGAATCACATGCCTTTGCATTGGCAGTACAATTCTTTACCACTAAGCCGCCAGCCAGAGCTCCCATTACTATCTGTAGACTTACTAATTGTGCTGAGTTGTATTGGTGCTTCATCTGCCCAAGCCAGAGCCAGCTCCCCAGGGGTTAGAGCTGTGTCTTTCTGGATGATCCTGAGATTTTGCAAAGCATGAGATTGAGACTTAGCCTCACTTTTCAGGATGCTAGGGCTGCCGTGAGGAGCCAGGGTGGGCTAAAGGTCAAACTGGGGATTGCTAACTGAAAGATTGGTGGTTCAATCAGCTGTTCCATGGGCGAAAGAGCTCATGATCTAAGCCTGTAAAGATAACACAGCCTTGGAAACCTTATGAAGGACTTCTAAGAGTCACTATGAGTTGACATCAACTCAATGGCTTACAGCAACAAGACAGTCTCCACTTTTCTCTTATCAACCTTATTTGCAGCTTCTTGATAGTTATTTTGAAGCCTACCAACATGTGTGGGACCCAGAAGAAAGGTTTGCCTTAGTGCAAGTGATCACTGATATCATGCACCGGCGTCCAAGGTTTGATCCCAGCCACCCTTATTTTGTTCAAGCCTACAGAGATGACTGCACGTCCCTGAGGCTTCACTTACAGCTGGTAAGGGGTATCCTCAACCAACAGGTAAGCCTCAAAAAACCACACCCACTGTTGAAATTCGCTACACTATATAGTGTTTAGATTAACTGTATTGCCTCATAGAGCTGTAAATTGTTATGGAAGCAGGCCGTCATGTCTTTCTCCCAAGGAGTGACTGATAGATTTGAACTAGGAAGCTTTTGTTCAACAGCCAAGTGCTATCTGGACTTCTCTACATTAGTAACAAAAAACTCCAACCCCGGGGTTGGGAGGAACCTAAGAAAAGAGGGGATAAATAATGCATAGTGCATTGAAACAGATGAGGGAGAGAACTGTTTAAAAGGAATATAGGATTAAGTATTATTTTCATGACAAAATTATAGAAAAAGAAATTCATAGTAAAGTGGACTGTGGACTGGATGGGTGATTGTGTAACAATGAAAGAAATTTTTTTTTCTTCAAAGAGAAAAATGAATTGGGGTGAGGGGTGGGCAGGGAGGAAAATGTGCAACAATGAATGAATGAGGGGAAAGTTAAAAGGAAAGAATATGCTGTAAAAAATATGTATGTTGCGTTAAAGAAATCATTAATTTTAAAAAAGAAGTCCTTGAGAACAACAACAAAAAATCCCCCTCCAACCTAACCCACTGACCTTGAGTGAATTCTGACTCCCAATGACTCTTCCATGCTGCCCTTTGAAATCTTCTATTCAGCTCCTTACTATATTGATTTCTTCCCTTTGCTTTAGCTTTTTGGTACTCTGCAATACTCAGTCTCTTTTAACATCCACCTTGGTCTTTTTTCCCTCTTGTCTTTGTAATGCCCTTTTGCACTCTTCCTGGATGATATTCTGATATCCTCCCACAGCTTGTCTGGTCTTCCCTCATTAGCGTTCATGGCCTCAGACCTGTTTTTGAGATGGTTTTGAAATTCAGGTGGGATAGACTCAGGGTCAAATCTTGCTTCCCATGGATTTGATCTAATTTTCCTCAGCTTCATCTTGAACTTGCATATGAGTAGTTGGTGGTCTGTCCCACAATCAGCACCTGGCCTAGTTTTCAAAGCTCATATTGAGCTTCTCCAGAGGTTCTTTCCACAGATGTAATCAATCGGATTCCTATGCTTACCATCAGGTGAGATCCATGTGTATAGTGTGCGTTTATGTTTTTTATAAAACGTATTTGCAATTAATAAGTTGTTGGTTGTGCAAAATTCTATCATTCTATCTCCAGCTTAATTTCTGTCACCAAGTCCACGTTTTTCAACTACTGATCCTTCTTCTCTGTTCCCAATCTTTGCATTCCAGTCACCCATTATTATTAATGCATCTTGAGTGCACGTTTGATCCATCTCTGGCTGCTCATTTCCTCTTCTTTGGCTCTGGTTGTTGGTGCATTTATTTGAATGATGGTGGTATTCACCGGACTTCCTTGTATGCATTTGGATAGTATCCTGTCACTCAAAACATTATACTTCAAGACAGATTTACAAATGACTTTTTTAACTATGAAAGCAACCCCATTTCCCTCACCTTTTCCACTCCACCATAGTAGATCATACGATCATCTGACTCAAAATAGTCTTTGCAATTTCTTGCTATACACCAGAAAGCTGAACAATGACTAGGGATGATAGGGGGAGATTTTTTTGTCTTTGAACTGTGTTGCTGGAGAAGAGTATTAAATACACCATTAACTACTAGGAAACCAAACAAGTTAGTCCTAGAGAGGATGAGACCAGGCTGCTCCTTGGAGGCAAGGATTTTGAAGTTTTGGACATGTTGCAAGGTGAGACCAGTCCTTGGAGAGGGGCGTCATGCTTGAGAGGGTGGAGGGACAGCACAGGAAAGGAAGACCCTCAATGAGATGGATTCATTCAGTGACTGGCGTAATGGCGGTAGGTGTGTCAGAGACAACAAGATTGGCACAGGATAGAGCAGGGTTTAGGGCTGTTGTATGTAGGGTTGCTATGAGTCGCAAGTGACTTGACAGCACATAACAACAACAATGACTCTCCATTGGGTTTCTGAGGTTGTAAGTCTCTACAGGAGGAGATTACCTATTTTTCTTCCTAGGAGCAGTTGATAGATTTGAACCTCTGACCTCTCAGCAGATCATTATTGTTATGTGCTGTTGAGTTGGAAATTACTTCCTCCAGCAGGTTTTCAGGCTGGTGTAAATCACATGGGAGGAGACTGCCTATCTTTCTCCCATGGAGGAGCTTGTGGAGCAGTTGGGCTTAGAAGTTTATGTGTGAGAACAGGTTGAGAAACATGATGTAGAACTGGAACTAAGTGTTTCATTGTCACCACAAATCCAGACTTAGGGTTTTCAGGGGCAGTTGGTTTACTTAGAAAGCCATTTGCATTGCTGAATTCCAAGCATACCTTTGGTCTTAAGCATCTGGATGGTTTATGATTGACTACTGACCTAAGTAGGGGTTGGTAGTTCAAACCCACACAGCAGGACCCTGAAAGAAAGGGCTGGAAATCTTCTTGTGTGAAAATGAGAGCCAAAGAAATCCCTATGGAGCCCTTCAACTCTGTAACACATGGAGCTGCCATGAGTCAGAGCTGACTCGACAGCAAGGGATTTGATTGGAAGAGTGGGCTCCAAGCCCAACTGCATTTAACAGTCCACAAGGAATTTTTAATCTCCATTTTAAACTAGATCATAGAGTTTATCAGCAATGAGAAAGGACTAATGTGATACCTTTCGAAACATGAGTGCATAAGTTGTAGTCATTATTTTTAAAATGTTATAACTGTTTTCAGGACACAGAAGGAAGCAATCATATTGTATGTCCTCTGGGGGAGGCTAATAGTATGAAGTAAGAATATAGCAAGGCTATTACCTTCAGCCTGGTTAGAATTTTTTAAAAGCAGTCAATCATTTGGCAGAAAAGTTTCCTTTTGCCTCTTAAAATCATCTGAAAGTTATTGCCTTTACTTTCCTGGGCTGACCCCTGGTACAGACTGAGAGATCAGGGTGGTCAGTTGCTGGTGGATCCCTAAAACAATGTCAGGGTGACAATGAGTCATGAACAGAAACAAATGGACCATGCAATGCCGAGACTCATTACTCACATCCATGGGAAAGTTAAACTTTTCTAATTTTCACTTTTGTGCTACATTTCTAGATAGAGTGTCAGAGGGAGTATGTCCAGAGGCTTTGGAGAAAAAGACACTCAGATGAGAGCAATACTTTTGGACTTCCCCTTAACATAATCTGCAAACAACTTATTTCCATCAACAATAGCAGGTAATCCGATGTTGGTTTTAAGTATTTTGCATGGTCTTCCAGATAAGTCATGGATATAATATTAAATATAAACATATCCTTAAAAGTACCACTTAAATAATTGGAGATGGAAGACCTGAGTATAAAAGCCATAAACTCATATACGTGAGCATAAAAGAGGGATTCATATATACAATATCTGATTGCTTTATAAGTTATAAAGAGTGTTTTTGTTGTTGTTATGCACAGTAGAGTTGGAACTGACCCGTAGCTGACCCTCCAGAGGGTTTTCAGAGGCAGTTAACTGCATGGGAGGAGATTGCCCATCCTTCTCCTGTGGAGCAACTCGTGGCCTTGAACCACGTGCCTTTGTGATTGCAGCACAGCTTCTTGCCAAGAGGGTCCCAGTACTAATATAGAAAACATTCTTACAGTATCCTGGTGAATTAACTGTTAAGTCAGCTTGAATAGTCAGATGGATCCTAGCTGAAAGTGAAGAATACCAGAAGAAAGTCTATTTGTGCTTTGTTGACTATGAAAGACATTTGACTGTGTGGATCATAGCAAATTATGGCTCACATTTGGAAGAATGGGAATCCCAGAACACTTAATTGTGCTCAAATGAGCCTATACCTAGATCAAAAGCTGTTGTGCTAACAGAGCAAGGGAACTCTACATGACCTAGAATTAAAAAACGTGTGCATCTGGGTTATATTCTTTCTCAATACCTATTTAATCTGTATGCTGAGCATATTATTCAAGAAGCTGGACTCTATGAGAAGAATGTGGCATCAAGATTAGAAGAAGACTCTCCACTAACCTTCATTATGTAGCTGACACAACCTGACTTGCTGAAAGTGAGGAAAGACTTGAAGCACTTACTACAAAAGATCAAAGACTGAAGCTTCAATATGGATTGTACTTCAACACCACAGAGACAAAAATTCTCACCCCTAGGTCAATAAACAACGTCATGATAGACAGAGGAAAGACTGAACCTGCCAACAACTTCATCTTACTTGGATCCACAATGAATATACTTAGCACCAGCAGTCAGGAGATATATTTTACTGGAAAGTCTTCAATCAGGGACCTCTCTAAATTTTGAGGAGTAAAGATGTTAGTTTGAGGACTAAGGTCCACCTGATTAGGGCCACGGTCTTGTCAATCACTTACTTTGCTGCGGAGAACTGGACAATGAGTTAGGATGACCGAAAAATAACTGACGGTTTTGAACTGTGGTATTGGAGAAGAGTGCTAAATTATCCCATGGGCTGCCAAAAGAATAAACAGGTATGTCCTGGAGAAGGTACAGCCAGAGCACTCTTTGGAGGCAAGGATGATGAAGTTTCATCTCTCCTAGCGTGTTGCTAGGCTCGGCTATTCCTTGGAGAGGAAAATCATGTTTGAAAAGGGGGAGGGACAATGAAAGAGAGGAAGACACTCAACCAGGTGGATTCAACAATGGGTTTGAGTGTGTCAGAGACTGTGAGAATGACACAGGATAGGACAGGGTTCATAGGGTTGCTATGAGTTCTACTCGATCAGTGGCACCTCACAACACAACCTTAAAGTCAATCCTGACTCATAGTGATCCCATGTGTGCCAAAGTGGAAACTTGTACACCGTAGAGTTTTTAGTGGCTGATTTATCAGAAGTTAAGCACCAGGTATTTCTTCCAAACCACCTCTGGCAAACTTTCAGTTAACACCTGAGCACCAATAGTTTGTTCCTACATCAATAAAGAGTCACTCACTCCCCCTTTGCTGACCCTCCAACAAGCTTTCAGAGGTTGTAATTGCATGGGTTGAGATTACCTGTTTTTCTCCACAAAGAAGCTGATAGATTCAAATCACTTGCTTTTAAGTTGGCAACACAACTCCTTACCCACTAGGAGAATGCTGTAGTTCTTAGGTGCCAGTGAGTCCACTACAACTCAAAGTGACCCTGTAAACAACGAATCTGAACCCTGCCCTATGTACCGTCCTTATAATTTCTCACAGCCACACTTGAGTCCACTGTTGCAGTCACTGTGTCAAGCCGTCTTGTTGAGGGTCTTCCTCTCTTTTGCTGCCCCTCTACTTTTCTGAATATGATGCCCTTTTCCAAAGACAGGCCCCTCTGAATAACTAGGATAGTTGTTGCTGTTAAGTGCCCCCAAGTCATGTCAGCTCTTAGTGACCCTATGGACAACAGATCTGGACCCTGTCCTATCCTGTGCCATCCCTTATCATCCCAGCCACTTTTGAGCCTACTGTTGCAGATACTGTATCAATCTTTTGCATTGAGGGTCTTCCTCTCCTTCACTGACCCTCTATCTTTTCAAGCTTAATGTTCCCATCCAAGGAATAGCCTTTCCTAACAACATGTCCAAAATACATGAGATGAAGCTTTACCATCCTGCCTCCAAGGAACACTCTGGTTGCATTTTTTCCAAGACAGGTCTGTTTTTTCTTTTGGCAGTCCAAGGGATATTCAATACTCTTTTCCAATATCACAACTCAAAGGCATTGATTCTTCTATTATCCTTAGTAACTGTTCTGCTCTCAGATGAGTAGCAAACAATTGAGAAGACCATGGCCTGGATCAGACACTCCTTACTCTCTAGACTGACATTCTTGTCCTTTAGTACTCTGGAGAGGTTCCTCACAGCAGATTTTCCTGATGCAACTCATCTTTTGATTTCCTGACTACTGGCACCAAAGGTATTGATCATAGATCTGAGCAAGATGTAACTACAATCATTTCTCTATTTGTCATTATTCTGCCTACTGGTCCAGAGGTGAGGAGTTTTGTCCTCTTGGTATCCACATTAAAGGCTGCAGCCCTTGATTTTCTGCAGTAAATGCTTCAAGTCCTCCTCAGTTTCAATGAGCATAACACAGATGGTTGATGACTCTTCCTCCAATCCCTATGCCACTTTCTTTTTCATAAAGTCCAGCTTAAACTTGTGTCATTAAGTACAGAATCTTCATTTTCTTGAGAAATTTTAAAAAACCAACAAGCAATCTCTCTTAAAATACTACCTGGTTTTGTGCCATGTAAGTCCATAATCTTAAATATTTTCTCAAAGAAGTGTTGTTCTTTTTTTTATTTTAAAAAGAGTCACCAAAGAGATTTCTGCAGACTCTCCAAAGAAAGAAAGAAAAAATCCTATGTGACTACCACCCTTTCAAGGAGCAGCTAAGTTTTACGATTCTACTCAGAGGTGAAAAGGGATATTTACTATGTCATTCATTGACATGTTATATGATCGTCCTTCCCCATTCTCTCAGCCTTTGAGGGCACAGCATATTAGGAAATGGGGTGACAAGTCCGTGGTCTATGTGGTCACAGATCACAATCTCTTTTATAAGGTCACAATCAAGGTCAAGTCATGGTGACCCAGTGTGGGTCAGAGTAGAACTCAGCTTCATAAGGTTTGCAATGGTTTCTTTTTGGAAATAGAAGTCCTGGCCTTTCTCACAAGGAGCCTCTGCATGGACTTGAAGCTCTAATCATTTGATTAGCAATCAAGTGTATGAACTGTCTGTACCACTCAAGGATAATCTCTCTCAGTCCCCTCCCAAGTAGGTAGAGAGATTGTCCAGCTTCTTTGAACATCCACAGATGTTTATATGTACCAGGTGCTGTCTTAGGACCTGGGAACATGGGAGTCAACAACAGAGGCATGGCCCTGTGTTCCTGTGGAGGGCCCAGTCCAGTAGTAAAGGAAGATATTCAACAACAAAATAATCATTGCTTTGTGCAGTAGGATTATATTGGAATGGGCAGAGTACATAGCTGAGATTCTAACCTATTGAGAAAGCCCAGGCATAAAACTGAATTTTCTCCATAGACCTTTCCCAAGGCTGATTCCTTCTGTGTGTGTCCTGCTATGGCTAGAATCCATAATTTAGGAAATAATTTTTGCCAGAACACGTTAGAGCTATGAATACTAAAATCTGTCAGATTAGTCTCAAATGCAAATGTTCTTTCATTGATAAGAATCTTTCCCAGATTTAGAGCTATATAGTAAGACTCAAGACTTAGATATATCCCCTTTTTTATCGATTTAAAGAGACAGTTCTATTCTTCAGCACTATGTAGGTAAAGAAAAAAACCTTGACTAGTGTTGTATCTTTTCTTTCCAAAGGAATAATCCAGAGCCAAGCCCCTTATGGTTTCTGACTTCATCTGCTTAATAAAATATAACATCCTCACATCCACTGCTTTTGTCTAGAAGGATAACAGGTAGAGGGGTGAGGATTGGTAGGAGCAAAAATCACAAAGGTGCACAATTTGGTGGGTTGAGGGAGGTGGAGGAAGGAAATGAGAAAGATCAAGGGGAGACCTGAAAAGACAGGGTAAAGGTGGGCTAGTCTAATGGTGATTGATTTTATAAAATATAATGGGAATGTTTGTATGGGAATCATAGTATGAAACACAAGGTGAATAAAGAATAGTGTGAAACACAATGTATACAAACTTCGTTAGCAAACCAATATAAAGTGTTTTTAAAATTGTTTTTGTCCATTACATTTGAGGAAAGAAGAAATACAAATGCAGATGAAAAATAGAAACAAGTTGTTGTTGTTATGTGCCATCGAGTCGCTTGCAACTCATAGCAACCCTATGTACAAGAGCTCTAAATGCTGTTCTATCCTGTGCCAACTTAGTCGTCTCAAATGCACTTATTCCCACTGCTCCAGTCACAGAATCGATCCATCTCATCAAAGGTCTTCCTCTCCTTCGCCGCCCCTCCATTCTGCCAAACATGATGCCCCTCTCCAAGGACCAGTCCCTCCTTGCAACATGCCCCAAATACTTAAGGATACTTTGGGCAGTATATTAAATGATCCAGAAAGTATCAAGAGACGATGGAAGGAATACACAGAGTCACTGTATCAGAAGGAATTGGCTGACACAGAAGAATTTCATGAAATGACATATGAGCAAGAGCCTATGGTGATGAAAGAGGAAGTTCAAATTGCTCTGAAGGAACTGGCAAGAAACAAGGCTCCAGGAGTCGATGGCATACCAATTGACATATTTCAACAAGCAGACACTGGTCTGGATGTGCTCACTAAGTTGTGCCAAGAAATCGGGAGAACAGCCAGCTGGCCCACTGACTGGAAAAGATCTATATTTGTTCCCATTCCAAAGAAAGGTGACCCAACAGAGTGTGGAAATTATCGAACAATATCATTGATATCACATGCAAGCAAGATTCTGCTGAAAATTATCCAAAAACGTTTGGAACAATATGTCAACAGAGAACTGCCAGATGTGCAGGCTGGATTTAGAAGAGGTCGTGGTACTAGGGATATTATAGGTCATGTCAGCTGGATCTTAGGAGAAAGCAAAGAATACCAGAAGAATGTCTCTGTGCTTCATTGACTATGCAAAGACTTTTGACTGTGTGGATCACAGCAAGCTGTGGCTGACTCTGAGAAGAAACAAGTAGCCATGAAAATTATTTCTTATTTTGTGTTTAAGCACTTTTAAGTAATTTTATTTTCAAATAATGTTATTCATTTTTGCTAAGTGCCTTCATGTAGGAAGGGACTCATTGCTGACCCTACAGCAGATTTTCTGAGGTTGTAAATCTCACAGAGCAACAGCAGATTCAAACCACTTGCCTTTGGGTTGTCAACACATCTTTTTACCACTGTTATTGTTGTTGTTACATGCCATCAAGTCGCCTGCCACTCATAGTGACCCTATGCACAACATCTCTGAACACTGCTCTATCCTGTACCAATCTCACTGCCTCTGACACACCTACCCCCATTATGCCAGTCACTGAATGAATCCATCTCATAGAGGGTCTTCCTCTCCTGTTCTGTCCCTCCACCCTCCCAAACATGAGGTGCCTCTCCAAGGACCAGTCCCTCTTTGCAACATGTCCAAAGTGTGCCAGATGAAGCCTCAGAATCCTTGCATCCAAGGAGTAACCTGGTTTAACCCTCTCCAGGATGAACCCGTTCATTCTCTTAGCAGTCCGTGGTATATTCAATACTCTTCTCCAGCACCACAGCTCAAAGGCATCAATTCTCCTTAATCATCCCTAATCATTGTCCAGTTCTCTGATGCATAGCAAGTGATTGCAATGACCAAGGCCTATATCAGGTGCACCTTAATCTCCAGAGTGACATCATTGCTGTTCAGCACGTTGGAGAGGTCTCTAACACTAAGCAACTTAAATATAGATATCTAAAGTGTTGCTATGGTTACTAGATACAATTTGAGTCTTCTTTTTGGGCTTTGAATATATTTTCTTCTGCACCTTGATTTTAAATGGGTTTATGTTAAAGCAAGCAGCATCTCATGTCACCTATCTAAATTTCCTGTTTGGCCTTGGTGTCCTCTTTGAGCTCCTAGTTTCTTAGAATGCTCTGAATCATAGGAGTTGTTTTACTGGTCTTTAAAAAAAATTTTTTTTAATTTAAATATCTTTGGAAACATATCAAATTCTTCCCTGTTTAAAACAGTTGTTAAATTTTCCTCTCCTTCAAGCCCAGCACTGAAAAACATTTATCTGCTGGAGTTCCACCCTTCTCTGGGCCTGGCAGCACTCATCCCCAAAGCCCTGGAGCATCTTCTCCAGGCCTCCTGCAGCACCTGCAGACCTGCCTCAGCCAGCGGCGTCGCCCAACTGGAGAATCGCCTGCTGCGAACCGCCCTGGATGTGTGGGTTAACCTGGCCAAACCCCAGGCCTGGTACAGTGCACAGCTCCAGAGAGATGTAAGTTCTTCCTCTCTGAATGGGGAAGTTGGGCCCACAGTTAACGACAGTGTTTCTTCGCAGATGTTACTAATTAGTTTTGTTTTTTCTCTTTGGCTCAATTTCCCCCATTTGGTCAGAAACAGATCATAGTCACAGGCCTTGCCAACACTTATATGTGACTTTTCTCCCATCGGTTTATGGTTTATAAAGATGCTACTACCATTTAAAAAGAAAATGAGAATGTATATAGATGTGTGAAACGTTTTCTGAATTGGATTGGGGTGGGTTTTTTCCTACTTTAGCCATGTTTTTATTTTCTTCCCACCTACCCATCCTTTCCCATTCTCCCACCCTTCCCTTCCTCCTACCAACACCACCAAGAATCTAGCTCAGGTTTGCTCATTTTAAAGGGTTTGTTCTGTTGTTGTTGGATATTTTTACTCTTTTTAATTTGAATTGATTTCTGGTGGGGGGGGACAAAACAAGGAGTGGAGAGTCGGGAGCCTGAATTTGAGTCCACTCGAGCCATTAACTCACTATGTGAGCTGTGTGGCTTTAAGGAAGTTCCTCATCCTGAGTCTCACTTGCCTTTGTGTGTCTGCGGGGAGGTGAGCACCATGATATCTAAAGCTCCTTCCAGCTTGTAATGGTCTGAGATTTGTACTGTGGCCTAATAATGTCTATGCTGTGTTTGGAATTTAAATTCCCCCACCTTTTTCTGTGAAGGCTTTCATGATAAGCTTGAGTTCTCACTTCAACACTACTCTGTGCATACAGTTACTGTATCACTGACAAGCTTCCAATGGCCCTGACTGCCCTGGTGGCACAAGTTAAAGTGCTCATCTGCTAATTTAAAAGTCAGCAGTTCAAATCCACCAGCCACTCTATGGAAGAAAGATTTGGCAATCTGCTTGCATACAGATGGCAGCGCCATCTCTCCTACCTTGCTGTGAGTTACTATGGGTCAATGCCACCTGACAGCAACAGGCTTGCTTTTTCCAGCTGTTAAAAGATAGTTTCTCTGTGGGTCAGTCTGACTTTCTTGTCCAAATTAAAATTTAATTGCATTTTAAATTGATCAAAAGAATATAAAATTCAGAGGACTTTAACAAAAATTGGGAAAATAATTTTTAATAGAACCACTTAAACATATTATTCTTTTTTTTTAATCTAAGCATTTTCTTTTGCCTTTTATGTTGCTCTTAGTTTTTTTAAATTGTAATTCTAGTGAAAGTTTGCAAACAGTATGAGTTTTCATTCATTTACTAATAGTGAATTTAAGAAGTTTTATGTCTGGTTTACACAGTTGTTATTGTCTCTTCAGTACATTATGATTTCCTGTTTCAGTTAATATCCTCTCAAAAGTGGGTATATTTCCTGCCCCATATTAATACCATGTCTTTGTCTTTACCTTTAGGTAATATTATCTCCTTTAGCTAATGATTTATAACTTACTTAACCATTTGCCTCTTGATGGACAGTCCAGTGGCTTCCAAGTTTACATGATTTTATTAAATACCATGAGGTATATATCTTCATGCAAATTTCCCTTACTTTTAATGACTTCATTTTGATGTATTTTTTAGAAGGGGAATTAATTGTACTTAAAAGACTTTAAAGAAAATTTGAGAATCTTTGGGTACATATCTACAGATGCTTTCTCAAATAATTGTGCCAATTAAAATACTGACAATCTTACACTGCCCTATATTATGTGCAAACATGTGTTAAGATACACTTAGACATAAAAGGTGGCGGTCTAGCTACTGCTGTTTTCATTTGCATTTCTTTGTTCTTTACTGAGATTAAATATTCTTCCAAATAGTTACTAGCTAATGTCTTGTGTGCAGACTATATGTTTCTGTTTCATGTATTTGCTTTTTACTTTTTTGTGTGTTTGAAAACGCACTCTGTTGCCTTTCAGTTGTTTTCAGCTAAAGTGATGGGAGACCCCTTTCTTGTGGTGGATCTAGGCCTTCTTGCCTTCAAGTCTTCAGCCGTCGAAGGACAGAAGCAGGGCCAGGAATTTCATGCGCTGCTTTTGGAGACCTTTTCCAGACTCCTGGAACTGTTGACCCTCCGCCACCGCTTGATAGAAATGAGTCTGGAGAGCGCACACTTAGCTCGGTCAGTAGGGACCCTGGGGAGCCTGGGGTAGGACCCAGGGTCTCCTTGTGTACAAGTCTGGTCTTTGAACTTTCTAAATGTCTAAAGTGATCACCTCACTTCCTTCTCTTCTTCCCACTTCCCCACATACCTCTCTGGTCACTCCAACAGGATGGATGCTCCTATTAGCATAATCACCTAAAATCTTAGGTTTGTATTCATGAAGTCACATAGTCCAGTTAATCAACTCAGGATTCAGAGATAAAGAGAGGTGTAAACACCACCAGGAGAAAGACAGAACCTTCAGCAGCTCTCCAAAGTCTGCACTGCTTTTGGTTTCTTGGGACAAGCTTAAACGAAAACATGCAGTGAGCGAGCAGCTAAATTGTGCACGCAAGCGGGGAGTCGTACAATGTGTACATTCCAAAGGACTGAAAAAACTCTAAGGGCAACACTTCTTTAATTCGTCTCTTATCTTCACCAGTTAAGAATGAGCTAATCTCATTCTGTGGGCCTCTGGTGTTGGTGTTCCAGATGGCTATTATATATCTTAATCAGAAAGAGCAACTACTATACTAATCACTAAGGGAGAAAAAAAGAACTTCTGGCTAGAAAGAAGTGGGAAAGGCTAGTTCACTTAACATGGCTTCATTTACACAAAACAGATTTAGTATGTCAGCTGCTATATTTACAGCTTCTATGACATACAAGGTTCAGAGCCACCAGCTGCTCCCGGGCAAAATGGGTAGTCTCCTCCCATATGATTTACTGCCTCTGAAAACCCGCTGGAGGGTCAGCTATAGGCCAGTTCCAACTCTATAGTACATAACAAGAACATGAACACCCGAAGGTCATCTCCATTTAGCTAATTTCATTTTAATCACATGCCCATTATTGGCTTATAACATTTCATCTCATAAAAGTTTTTGAGATGCCAAAGACATGTTGTTGTTGTTGTTATGTGCCGTCGAGTCGTTTTCGACTCATAGCGACCCTACGCACAACAGCCCTAAACCCTGCTCTATCCTGCGCCAACCACACTGCCTCCGACACACCCATCCCGATTACCCCAGTCACTGAATCAATCCATCTCA